TCCTAATTGGGTATTTTTTCAAAGCGTAACAACATTTATTTTGGGGAGGGAGAAGGCAACGCAAGGAAAGAGCGCAGAAGGAGAAAGGGAAGAGCCAGAAACAGACAACAGAAACCAAAATAGTTCAGGCTGGGGGAGGAAGGATTTCAAAGCTTCAGAAAACCACAAACCACCCAAACTGTCGTGGTGGTGGTGGTGGGTTTTTTTAGAGGCCGACAGAGTGGTGGCAGCATGAAGAGTGTCCCCCACGTGCTGTAGGCAATGCCGTGCTTCCAGTGGTGAGGAGCCACAAGCTCATGCTCCAGCCGGATCATTAATCACTTTGCAATGCTCAGGATCACTCCTGTAGCATGTCAGGCTTGATTTCACCCTCTGCCCAACTCTCCAACATCACCTGAAACATCTCCTTGCAAGGAAGGAAAGGTGCTGGGCACCTCCTGACATGTCACTCACTCCAGGTGCCACCTCTCACACCATCTGTGCCACCCCCAGACCTCGTCCCCTTCTCAGCTCTCTGTGTTGCTCACACTCAGAACTTTTATGAACAGCTGCTGAACAGAGCAAGGGAAGACGTGCCCAGCCCAAACTTGGTGCTCGCTGCTTCCCAGCCACTGCCTGGAAACTTCTGAAAGACAAAATGCCTGTCCTTGGTGCTTGGGATTGGCAGCCCACAGGAAAAACAGATATTTCCCCTGCTTCCACCTCCTCCTGTCTTCTTGTGGCACTTCAGGCTGCAGCGATGGCAGCATGAACTTGCAGGGGCTTGCTCCTGCAGAACCTGCCTGGCATGGCTGCATCATTCATAGCAGCATCAGGAGTATGTGTGGGCAGAGGCAACATCCAGCCCTTGTCTTCCCCTGGGTCGTGCTGGAAACTTGTGTCCCAGCATGGCCAGATAGCACCAGTGACACCCGGCACCAGAGCGTCCCTCACTCCTGCCACCGCTCCCCAGGCCGGGGGCTCTGGGGTGGGGATGGGACACAGTAAGGGACACCCAGATGGGGCAGATCCCACTCTGCCCTCAGGACAGCTTGGGGCACCCTCCCACCAACGTCCCGTCAAGTGATGCCACCCAAGGGGCTGTCACCCCAGGAGTGTCCTCCTGGCCACCACGCTAGCTGGCATGTCCCCAGGAGATGGCTTCGGGGACAGAAGCAGCGAGTGCGGTTACCTCGGAGGAATTTTGCGTGGCATGCGATCTTCTGAGGGCTTTGCAACAACAGATAAGAGCAAGTGTCCTTCAGAATAAATAGCAGCGTGTAGGAGTTGCCGTTGTCCTGGCAACGCAGCGTGATGTGCCTGGCGCGGCGGCGGGGATGGATGCGGCAGTGCGTGGCGCGGCCAGAGGCAGGACCACCCGGCCCTCCCCT